CTGCTTCGTGCAACCTCTTGATCCATTCCGCGGCGACTGAGATGTCACTTGTTCCGTTGAAGGGTTTGCATCCCAAGTCTCTCGCCTCCTTGAGAAATTTTGAGATCCTTATGATTGGACCTCCATCACCCCGGCCCCCATGTGGTTCAATGTGGGCCCTAGAGTCACCATGGCTTCTTCCTCTTGAAGCCCCACCTGAAGGTTGCCCTCCTCGGCGCCTTCGGCGTTCCCTCCTTTCCTCGCGCTCCCGCTTCTATTGCTGGAGCAGCACCTCAATCCTTGCTAGGGAGTCATTCTCCCCCTCTTCATCACTCACATCATCGTCGTCCCCTTCATAAGAGGTCTCAACCGGCTCGGTCTCCGGTTGGTAAGTCGAGTCCTCATAGGACCAGTAGGTTTCATCCTCAGTGTTGACATGACCGTCGCTCACAGTCTGCGATCAGCCTCCACGGCTCGCCCCTCTAGACACTCTAGAGGCCCCACGGCTTCCATGCCCGGTCGCCACCGGTGCACGGCCCATCAGGTTCCTTCTCGTAACCTTGCCACCACCGTCCATTTCTGAAAGAAATTTTGGAAAGAGTCATTAGACCCGTATCAAATGTCAATTGACGGATAGGTACTTAAGACACTACTTGGCTCAAGTTGCCGCCATACCAATTGCTAAGGGTACCATCTTAACAATTAACGACCTTTCAACTCAAGTACCAAAAGTTCTATAAGTACAAAACAATTATGCCCATGGTTTTCAAAATCATTTGGAAAAAGAGAATTTTGAGTCTTCATTATGAAGTTTATGAACTAAGGTTCTGATACCAATTAAATTGTCACGCCCCAGACTTATCCGGACACGTCAACAACCCGGCGTACAAAACGAATAGTCAACCACAGTCTAACACATCCATATTGTACAAGGCGTCTCGAATATCATTCACACATAAGTCATCCATAAACATCCATAATAAGTAATTCAATACGCAATGGAAAACATAGTTTGAAAACAAATGCCACACGCGGCAAACATGAGCTCGCAGGCTCTATAATGAAAAAATATCCATGAGCATGTTTATAAGTTTTCAAAAACAGAATGGAGGAAGCACGAACCAAATCTTCTCCACAAGATGATCGCCCGAGCAACGAGCACAGGTAGCGAGCTCTAGCCTCAACCTGAAATGGTGGTGGGACGCCCCCCCCCCCCTCCCCCGAAAGGGGGTCAGTACTCTATACGGCTATAAAGTACTGGTGTGAATGGCATCTAATAGATATACAACAAGTATTTCAAACACAAAACCCTCAAATAGGGTGATAATATAATCTAGGCCATAACCCTAAGTTACCCCTTTTTAAAATATACTTACTTTACATATAAAGTCAAGTAGTCGACCCGTAGGCCCATGTTTATCACAAAACATAACCCCAAACCCCGTGACCACTAGTCACGACAATACATAGGGTCCAACCCTAATGCGTCCACGTTATATCTACCAAATGCAATTCTAGAGCTCGACTCAAGTGCATCTCCTTACATTGGCATAGATTTGACCATAGGTTCTAAACCTTATATCACATCATCAATTTCCGACGTCATGTTCACCCATGCAATTCATCAAGTGCATCTGCCCAATCATGATCTTAGCATCATGTTACATCAATTTAGTCACTTGAATCACAACCAAGTACATCACTTACAATCAAATCCTTAGATTCAATTCCTTAAAAATTACAAACAATCATTAACTAGTATTTCAATACTATTAAGATTATTGTTATCATGCAAATATCCTCACTTTGTAATTCTCTATATATTTATAATTATGTAGCAGCAACTTACGTATTCAAACTCAATACATAAATATTCATTTTGTATTCACATGGTTCATACATGAGTAAATGCCTATTTCACAAAATAGTTCATTTATAACTCATTTAATCACATATTAACCATACAACTTCAAATCATTTCCAATTTCATTCTTTGGCAACTATATCAATATTTCATCAACATTTAATCATCATAATCCATGAAAATCATGATTTAGACATTTAGGTAATCTCATGCTTAACCTACAAGTTGTAAGCAACTAGATGTCGATCCTCACCTCAATTGAGCTTTAAACTTTTCCTTCTTGATCCAATGACCAAAACTTCGACCAAGGAAGTTTGAGAACGTACGTATTAAACACATGAATGCCCCAGGGGACGAACGTCCTCCATCATGTGACAACCCTGAGTACGTACGGCCTCTTACACTTGACAGTCCTCCGTAGCTACGTACGACCCCAACGACGTACGTCTTCACCACATGAGAACCCTTATCTACGTACGTCTTCACCACATGACGGCCCTCTGGGGGTGTACGTCCTCTAGCACATGATGGCCCTCAGCTACGTACGTCCTTCAACACCTCGATGCCATGACGGTATTCAGCTACGTACGTCCACAACGTGCAGCCAAGGCCCAAATGGCCCCTGGGGACGTACGGCCTTCGGTACGGGCAGCCTTCGTCCCATACATGGTCTCCGGCACATGCAGACCCCGGGTGCATGTAGGCGAGGGCGCTCCACTCGACAGGATCTCCTCTCCTCTCCACATGCTCTGAATCACCGCATTGAATGCGGTGTCACGTCCAACCACCTCATTAAATGTGGTGCCACATGCTATGTCTAGCTGAGTTGACTCTCCACCACTGGCTACTTGCCATGTGTACCCTCATTAATTACGCCGCATTCAATGCAGCTATAAATAGCTAGCCCCTTCTTCATTGTAAAGGATTCCAGATCGAGCTCATTTATTATACACCTACTCTCTCCTTCTTACTTGTTGATCTGACCTCTCTCTTTATATTTCCTATAATATGCCTTGGATAAGCTACCCCCCGGGTACACTATCCATCAGTTGATGAATATGATATTCTTGTGGTTGATTCTGATCTTAGAGGGTTCCCAAGACTAAATGTCAAACAACTTGAGGCTTTGATTCAATAATGCATGTTGTTGATTCAGGGAAAGGCGATGTGTTTTTCCTTGATGGACCAGAAGTTACGGGAAAGACCTTCTTGTACAGGTGCTTGCTTGCGGTTATCCAATATTGCAGCTTCGATATTTCCTGGTAGAAGTACTACCCATTCCCGCTTTAAGCTCCCAATAGATGGTGGTTCAAAAAATGTATGTAATATTGGAAAACAAAGTGCACAAGTTAGGCTTTTAAGGGAGGCAAAACTGATCTTGTGGGATGAAGCGTCCATGACAAACCGTCGTATTGTAGAAAGTCTTGATTCAACCTTGCGAGACATTTTGGACAAAGATGGGCTCTTTGGGAGGAAAGTAATGGCTTTTGGCGGTGATTTTAGGCAAACTTTGTCGTTTAGTTCTAATGACAAACATGCGTGCACATGAAGATCCGGGTTTTTGTGCTTTGATAATGTGCATTAGAAATGGAACACAAAGACAAATAATGCCAAGCAAAATAAAAATCCCCTCCCACTTTTTGTTGTATATGCCATATATTGATCCAAGCACTTTAGTGGACATCCTGTTTAGGGTTGTTTATCATGATCTAGAATTGTTTCAGAGTGATCCCTATGCACTAATGTCTCGAGCAATCTTAAAAACCAAAAATGATATTGTTGATTCAATCAATTCCCAATTGCTCACAAAATTCAATCAATTCCCAATTGCTCACAAAATGATAAGTTAGGCCTACCGGCCAGGAAGAGTAAGGGTCAAACAATTATTTTGTTGTTTAAGTGTGTATTTAATTCTATATTTTTTTTAACCAAATAAGAACTTTATTAAATAAAACTAAAGAAGATACTATTTGTTTTAATTCAGTATTAATGTTGTAATTAATTAGTCATTATTACTGATTACAGTTATTATTTGTATACGCCTATAAAAAGGAAGGGTGATTTAAATGAATGGACATGCTATTTCTGACAACCAAATCCCTTTAGCACTTTCCATTTTCTTACTTTCTATTTCCTGCTCGAGTGTCCGTGTAGACTTGTAGCTTTCCCGAAAAGTCTAAGAGCGCCGATTTTTTGACCGATGGCCAACAAACTAGCATCACATATAACAATTTATGATGAGATCTTATCTTCCATTTCGTGAATAGAAGCGTGTCACAAAGTCACAGTTCGTATACCGTGGGATCGTCCCACGGTGAGCACCATGCTCCACTCCCAAAATGACGTAGTTTTGCACAATTTTTTAAAAAAAAATCGCGTGAAACGTACACGCGTGTACAGTAACTATTTTTTTTGTTCCAGTAACATGAATGATGTAACTCGCGTGTAAAGAAATGTAACACACGTTAATAAGAAATGTCAATGCAAGCAAGTCGAAATGTAACTTGTCTTAAACATTGATTTCAAAGTAAATAATTAAAAAGGGAATCTAATTGCTAAATATCTTTACCTAAATGATGAATACGTTTTGTTTTTAATATTAGAGAGAAAGGGCAAAAATGACACTAAAGTTTTTAATGAATCTCATATAGGACACTCGGGTTTTTGGCGGACCAAATAAACACAAATTTAAACTTTTGTGCTCATTTTCAACCACCCACTAACCTTATCGTTCCAACTACCGTTTCTCAGCTAAAACGCCTACGATTAACCAAACACACAACACCCATTTATGGACGAAGAACACTCGACTCTTCATAATAGTCCCTCCATTCCGCCCCCACTTCGCATTCTTCCCGGCTTATCCATCTATTCTTTCCCTCTAATCGTCGTTTCTGCAACCCAATTGTCTATTAACGGCTTTGAAATATCCAAACCCACATGCAGATTCTTGTTCATTTAGGTCTGCTTGTCACTATGTGCAGTGCTCATAAGCTTTGTAGGAGCTTCTTGGCCTACTTTATTGGGGGTTTGATGATGAACTGCTTCGATTTTTATTAGCATTTCGATGGATTTTGATTTTAGGTTTGGGTTATTGTTTTTGAACATGTTGTGTATGTTCGTGCTTTTTTTGTGGGGCTAATGAATTGGGTGATTCTTCAAGTGGTTGGTTATGTATTCCAGGGAATTAAATTGTTGGAATCAAAACTTGGTTTTGATTTGCACTCTGACTCAAAGGTTGGATCTTGTAAATCGTGGAAGAACTTCAGCACATTACCATACGCGGGTATGCTGGAAGAGAGAAACCAAAGAAAATGATGAAAATAATGAAGAAGAAGAAGAAGAAAAAGAAGATGGTAATGGAGAAGACAAGGTGTTCGACGTTTTTACATTGAGAAAAATGGTAAAGTCTGAAAGAAGGAAAGCAAAATGTGCTGAAGTAGAGCTTGAGAAGGAAAGGATGGCTTCAGGTAGTGCAGCGGAGGAGGCCATGGATATGATTCTGCATCTTCAGAAGGACAACACCATGACCAAGAGGTGGCTGCAATGGCTGGTTTCGAAACAAGAGATGTCATCAGAAAGTGTTGCTTTGGAAGATAAACTGGGATTTGGTGGTCAAACTTGAAGCAGTTTATGATGATGAACAATGGAGACTCCTCTAAAGACGAGACATCAACTTGAAGCTCTCCTAATACTCACTTTAGTTGAGATACGGCCGTTTAACGGCAAATGTTAGTGAGTGGTTTAAAATGAATGTAAAGGTTTAAATTTGTTTTTATTTGGTACACCATAAATCCTAGTGTCTTATTCGAGATTCAATAAAAACCTAAGTGTCTTTTTTGGCCCTTCTCCCTTAATATTAAGACCATAAAAGGTTTTAAAGAAATCAATTTTCCCACAAAAATCAATTTTTTACAAAAAAAAATTGATTTAATTTTTTTTGTTTCAATAAAAGAGGTTTATTTTGTGATGTGACTCGTGTTATGGAAAATGTAACTCGCATTGATGAAAAATCTAACTTAGGTGTATGCAAAATGTAACTTCTTAAGATAAATCCAAATCTAACTCGCGAATAAAAAATGTAATTCAGGCGTAAGAAGATGTAACTCATACATAGTAATATGTAAATTCATATAATATCAAATGTAACTTGTCGGGAAAAATAAACGTTTTATTCTTCCCGAAACGTTTATTTTTCCCAGAAGTGCTCCGGACAGAAGGCCTCGAACAGAACCCCTCGAAGGGGTGTTCTGTTGGCTTCGGACAGAAACCCTCCAAGGGGTGTTCTGCCGGCTTCGGACAGAAACCCTACAAGAGGTGTTCTGTTGGCTTCGGACAGAAACCCTCCAAGAGGTGTTCCGGAAACACTCCTTTCCTTGTGGGATAAGCTGTGCAGTGAGTGCAGTGGGGCTACGGCGGAGCTTCTGGTCCTGAGAGCTGGAGTACGGCGGATTTCCATGGGAAAGGAACGATTCATGCGAGGGATAGAGATGAAATAGGGAAAGAGATGATAATGCAATGCACATTTCCAGGTTTAGGGCAGGCACTGAACTTTCCATAACGCTCTTCACAAATGATGTCAACAAGTGCATTTAAGTCGATGGTTTCATTTCCGTGTATTTCTGCGGGCGTAATTGATTCTTCCCTGCCAAGTGATGAGGACTTGTAAATGTAAGGATCGTGAACGAGTTCTAATCATTTAGTTTTATTAATGATAGAAAAAGTGGGTTAATGACTTCAGCCCACCCTGCTTTCACTTGCAAATATATGCACTTTTGGATGTGGTTTTATTAAAGTTTACTTTTGTAACATTTGTGTTAGGCTACTAGCACAGGTGCAAGTGCAAAACTATGAAGCCAATTGCAAGTTGAAGAACTTATTAAAAACATTGTTTGGAAAATTCCTTAAGATTTCTTATCTGTTTTTCTGTTTGTAATTATTTAATACTTTGTCTTAACACTAAACATTTGACTTGTTCAAACAAGCTTTTCAAACTTGCCTACAGAGAATCTAAATACTCAGATTAAGATATACAACAAAAAGAATCAACGATCACATATTATGAGAATTAGATCTCAATCACGAGTGGAGTTTTGATTCATTACTAGAGGGAGACTTGGGTTATCTTGGGAAGGCATGTTTTGTACTTTGGGTTGGGTTTTCTTTTTATGTGTTCTCTTTCTCTTGTTGTTTTCTTTCCTTGTAAAAAAAAGTCAAAAAAACCCAGAAGGTTGTGGTTGATTTTATTCAAAGGGAATCAAACTTTGAGTTGGTAAAAAAACAAGCTTTTCAAACTTCTGGCCTTTTTAATGTTTACAGGGGATGGAAGAAGATTGAATACCCCTCAAAGTAGTTTTTTCAAACAAAACAAAGGAAGTAATATTTAACTAGTAGGATGCAGGTTTGTTTTCCCAACTTTGTTCAACTGGTTCATTGTGGATGCAATTAAGTTTCATTTTTATGTCCATTTCTAACTCTAATTGATCACCCTCATTCTGAATTTGGATGATTTTCTTGCTCCTAGATAGTCCTAGCTAATAGTATGACATGCATTTATTAGTGTTGCTAAAACTTCCTCATTTCTCACTTTGCCTTCGGACATCGTGCGTACCCCCGCTAGTTGATCAATAAAGATGGACCTCTTTGATCAATGTTATTTTTCTAATACAATTTTCGTTACTGGTGGTGTCGATGGAGATAATTCAAATTCCGCTATCGTTTAAACAAAATATGCATTAGAGATTGCTAAGTAAATAATGTGTACGCGTCCTATCGATACATCTTTGTAAATCTTAGGGTATTTTTAATTGGAGTGAAATTTTATGATTTGACACGCTCTAGCCTGTTGTATTTAAGGTTGCTCTGGTCTCGTCTGAATTGGTTTGTTCTTATAAATGTCTAATCTCTGTCAAAGTTTGAGGTGTCTGATCTGTTCTATTTAAATCTGATCTGATTTAATTTGTTTAAGTTTGATACAATATAGTATGAGATTGAAATTAGTCTACTAAAAACATTTTGAATCACTGTTCGAAGGTGCCGTTGGATAATGCATTAGACTTTGCTTAAGCACTATAATTGACGGAAGGATGACACCCTATCCCTGAGTGCTTTCAACCCCGATCGGACGGTGCGTTAGGAGGATGTAAATTGAACTATAATCCCAATCTGACAGATAGAGAGTGAAGTTATGTCCCAGGTACTTGCAGAGACCCTATTTAGCATAATCACCTTTCATCGCAGTTGGCGGAATTTAAACCTGCATCATTGTTGTGTAATTGACAATGCTTTACCTAAAGAGGTGCCTAAGACTGTTACGTAGTACCACGTAGCACAAGGGCTCCGATTGTAAAAAAAACACTCCAAATCTAATACCGGAGTAGTATAAAAAAATGTTTGAAATCTTCGAAAAGTTTAAACAATTGCTTAAAATTTTTCTGGATATACATGTTTCATTCAAATCACGCTGAAATAGATTGGATGGATTTAGTTTGTTAAATTCTATTTCAATCGATTAAATATATATTGATTTATGAAAAAATTAAAAGTATTTTATTAATACTACGTAAAAAATTGTGATGAAAAAATAGTTAAAAATTGTAATTTACACACTTCAAATGTGAAAACTTAATTTACATGTTTGGTAAAAAAACATGTAAAAAATGATTAGCAAAGTGCCTAATAAACTCAAATATGGGTTATCAAATGGTTATAATTTATAATGTTTAGTTTCTAAGTCACAATTTTTTAAAGAGATATTACCCAGGACTAAAACAGTTTAAAAATTCTAAAATAGGACTGACGTGTTTTTATTCCCAAAATAGGATTAATTACTGTCATGTTTTGGCGGTACCAGACTTCAAACATGGCAGTATTTTCTAAACATGTCAGTAATTAATCCTATTTTGGGAATAAAAAACATGACAGTCCTATTTTGGAATTTTGAAATTGTTTTAGTCCTATTTCGGGAACTTTCCTTTTTTAAAGCGTGCCTAATTCATCATGGTAAACTTATATATTCGTACCAATCAATTTTAATTGACCTGTTGAGCAGCCTTCCCACGGATTTGAAAAGATCTATATCCTAATAGAAAGCATTGCTTACCTTTGACTCTCATATTAAATATATGACAAGTATTTGTATATTGATATACTGTCATTACATAACCAAACATTTATAAAACAAAGAGCAAGGATCAACACTAAAAATGAATAGCAACCTCTATTGCCATTGCCAACTCAGGGAAGAAGTGCGCTTAAACGAGAAGATCTGTGGCCATTGTTTTGACCATTCTCTTTACCTGTTTACAAAACAACAAATATAAAAGAAAAAAGAAATATGGCATTTACGATGATTTTATCTTAACACAAAATATTTTCATAATGGCAAAAAACACAAATGCTGGGATTACCTGCTTTGCTGACAGACCAATCTCTTGCAAATCTTCAAGCTGCAGGGCAAAAAGATTACTATTATTTTTTGATAATAAATACGGAGTACTTCGTATGGGCAAACAATGATAATAACAATAAAGGTAATTTCAGACATTGTTCCTGACACACTGCACCAACCATGTGACTAAATGTGTAATTCAGACAAAATACAGTAATTTAGAGGATGTTTTTAAGAGCTTCATGTTCTTACTGATTTGAAATGTTCAGGAGATTCCTGACGAAGTTCGAGGATGTTTGTAGCTCTTTTCTCTCCTATGCCCTGAATTTCACACAATCAAGAACATTACAATTAGTGGGGTAATGATGATGATGATGATGATGATGATAAATGTCAAATGAATACATAAATAAATTACCTTAAGTCGCTTTAAATCATCCCTATAAATCAAAAGAATATACATGCAAATTAGAAACAGAGAAGCATGATAATTATACAGATGAAAGAAATGCTCCCCACATTTCCGTTCTCTTTTCACCTTTTTTTGTATTAGACGGAGAAAGGTATAAAATGATGGAAAATGAGAAATAGTAGTTGAGAACAAACTGGTTAATATCTCTACATTTTTTCACATGCACCATCAAGAAGATTAGGATCTTTTTGGATGGATGGTTTTGGAGGGATGACTTTAGAGATCACATCTTGATGTACATTAGAGATTTTATAAAGGATACAACAACTACAACATTCAAGCCCTAATCTCAAAAGAGTTTGACATTGGAGTATGACTTTAGATTTTTAAGGATGAAAGAGGAAAATGATATATGATCGTAGTATGACATAGTATGACTTTAGAATTTTTTAAGGATGAAAGAGGAAAATGATATATAGCACTTTTAGTAGTATGACTTAGTATGACTTTGGATTTCATATAGCACTCCAGTCAACTTTATTCATTTTTAGAAATATTTAAAATATCATTAAAAGTGAGGGAACGAATGCAGCAGTACGGGGGAGCTGTAACAGAGAGAGTAAAAAGGAATAATATACACTCACTTGCTGGCACTATTCAAAAATTTAATACATTCTCGAGCAAAGGAAGCCTATACAAGCAAACACGAAGAAATGCACAAAAGTTATTAAAACAATAAATACTACACTAAACTAATAGAAGTTTGGTTGGAAATTAACTTAGTATTATTCTTAGTTATAATACTTAGTATAAATACTGTAAGAAAAAAAACAAGCACATACCTTTACTTTAGTATTATTCTCACTGAATTCCTCCCAAGGACTATAATACTTGGTCATAAATAATTTCTTATTATCACTAACACCAAAATCATTTTCAGCAACTGGAGTTTTGGGTTCCACTGGGTCAAGAAGAGCCAACCCTTGGCTTCCCTCTGGCAATTGTATACTCAGTGGAGGAGTGCAAGCCTGCAACTGTTTTAAATTATTTGCTAATGCTCGAAGTCTTTCACTTAGTAACGGAGACCCATCTTTATTTGTGTTAAAAACGTTGTTCTCCTTCTCGTCATTGTCAATGCCAGCACCTGTATTATGGAAGTTATATAGCCAGAGAAAAAGGTCTAATGATTGCTGGAAAAATTATGAGTAAATCAATTTACCTTGTCCACCTGTGAATCCTAATACTTCCCTCCTAGGAGTGGGTGAAGTAATTTTCACCTCTTGAGGACATTCCTGAGAAATTTAAAATAAAAAAGAAACTCATATATTGTATTCCAAGGGTTGTAGGCTTGTAGCTTATTACTGGGTTAAATGACATAAATTTTTCACCTTTTGGGCATGGTCTAATCCTGAAAACCTTGCCAAAGAGAGTATTTTTAACTCTTTTATCACCTCTAGTCCTAGAGTTTTGGTGATTAGTCATTGCATTCAGTATCACCATACATAGGTATTAAAGATAGTATTTTTAACTCTTTTTTCAAGATTTATCACCACATTTTACATTGAAAAAGTAATTTTCAGATCATGAAGAAATTCCTTAGAAGTTTAAAAAAAATCATAAATTACTCTGGGAGAGTTATAGCTTATTACTGTGTTATTTGACACATCAAGTTTCCATCTAGTCCCGTTAACTTTGGTAATTAGTTGTCGCATACGATATTATCTTACAGATACATTTTACATTCAAGTTTTCAGAGTGGCAGATTTGAATTCTCCTGAGAGAAAATGTTGAAAAACATAACAAGTGTCTACTTGATCCCACCTAAAGATGCTTTATAGTACCTCCTCTGGGAGACACTTATCTCATCTACTTTTCCTCAATGTATCCAACACAAAAAAATTCAGGGTACCTGCTACCGTGGTATGACCTATAATGTGCATAACTTTACAACATAATATGACTACAACAACAAAGGCATCTGACGTAAAGCTTTACTAGTATGCTCTTTTTATGAATCCCTACTGTTAAATAACAACTGGCAGTTAATTGACACTACCACTTATGACTGCTACCCAATTGTACAGGTATTTTAAGGTGTTGATAATGGTCAATGGTGATAGTGAGAAATTTTATAGGCTTTTTGTAACGGTTGAAGAAGTGCTAAAAAGACCATTTTTTATGTACTCTACCACAACCAAAAGCACAAAATCCCCTCTCTAGAGTTCATTCAAAAGGATGCAACAAGTGATGAACTTTCAATACCTCTTCATGCGAAGAAGTCCTTAATATGGAAACAGAGTCAGCCTGAAAAGTTTGAGAGAAGACATGTACCATCATTACAATCAACATAATGCAATCTCTAGACTTCATTAAGTGTATGTTTATATCCCTGATAAATTCTTGTGTTTTTCGTGTATTTGGTTTTAACACGGAAAATGCGAAGAAAATGAGTTGTATGATTTATTTATTTTTACATGTGGTTGGACCTATTATACACCTTGAGAGTATGGCTTTGGAGAGAGCAAAGTGGAGGGAAAATATTCATGTGGAGGATTGCCATCTTTTCTCTCTCTCTACCTTGTATTATAAAAAATGTTCTTATTTTATATTTATCTTTTTATCTTTCTTATGTTCTTTTATCGTATATTCCTCATTATCTTTAGGGAAAAATACCAATATATTACTAAAACATGTCCACTTTCCCATAATATGACTTAAAAAGTTTACTTACCATTATATGACTAGTAATGGGTGTACACGCATAGGATATGCTTTAATATAGCAGTTACATTTACAAGATGGCATGTCCTTAATGCATCATTCTAGGGAAAAAAACTACACAAGTCATACATTAGGAAATTGTATCTCTTTTAGTGATACATGTGTTAATTTTCTCTTATCTTTATCTTATCTTTTTTACCTTAACTCGTCTTTTTATTTTTCTTATTTTTTTTTCTTTTGGCTCAGACCCCAAAAACTTTGGGGAATAAAGCTTGAATGTTGTTGTTGCATGATAATAAAATGAGTTTGAAAAACTATCAATAATAAATTATTGAGTTTGAAAACATGTTGTAATTTCCCTCACATTCTCTTACTTTCCAAAATTTCCCTAACATTTTTTAGTTTTAATGGACCCTAAAAAGGTGTCAAATGAAAATGCCCAATACCTCCTCTTCACTTAAGGAAGACTTTATGGAGGAAAGGGTGTCTTCTGGAAGAAACTCAGACTTTGTGACAGTAGAATTATTCAGAGGGACCTCCTCCTGCATCACAACCAGTGTAAAATAGTCATTATATTTAATTCAGAAAGACTTCTCAAAATATAGCATCCAATACCTCTTTACACAAGGAAGATTCTGTTATGTGGAGATGCATAGACTTGGCGGCTAAAGAATCATCTAAAGGCACTTTTTCCTGAAATCAATTACCAATAAGAAAAAAGCTTAGTGAAAAAGAAACATTTCCAATGTAAAATTAAGATACACATAGTCATAATGCTTTACACACAACATAGAATATACTAATTCAATGTTTTAAACCATGAATCCATGGTGTCAAGACTTCTCAAAATAGATAATTGCTTCAATGATGTAAAAAATTTATAATTTATCCATAAAGAGAGGGATAAGCTTTGATGTCAACAGAATATGCTAAAGACAGGGAGTTATCCATAAAAAGCCCACACACATTATAGAATATACTAATTCAATGTTCTAAAACATGATGTCAAGAGATAGATAATTGCTTCAATAATGTAAAAATTGATAAAATAATTGCTTCAATAATGTAAAAATTGATAAAATAATTGCTTCAATAATGTAAAAATTGATAGTTACCTTCTTAGAAGTTGTAGCTTTGCCAGCACTGAATAGCTTCCTTAAAAAACGAAGCACATATTTTTATCAGAGTACATGATATATATGACATAGATGATATCAATTCATAAAGGGGGCTGACTCTACCTTCCATTCAAAAGGTTAGTGCTTTTTTTTAAAGATAAATTATGAACACTGCCCATATTTTGCTTTTTCACACTTGATGTGGGTATGACTCGTTGCTTATCTCGGTTGGTTGAACTCTGACATTTTGTTGTAGAGTTCCAAATTGCAATCCTGATGTTTTCACATGCCCGTGAAGCCAAACTTACGGTGTAGATGGTGTCTTGGCAAAAGAGTGGTTTCTGAAAACATACAAATTCGAATTATTAAAAAGTAATAGCCATTACACCATAATCTTTTATGGCTAAACCTAATGGAAGGTTGATATGCCGCACTACAAATAAGCAGACAATAGTAATATGTGCACCATGCAAGCAAGCATCAGTGTAAAGTTGTTTCCCCCCAGAGAATCCTTTAGCATCCGAGTGAGTTTGTTTTCTCGATATGGGACATGACTGTCATTGGTGTTGAGTGCAAACACAACATTCATTATGGAAAGGAGGGACCTGTTTATCCAAGTGCTTTCAGCAAGTGTTGTTCCATCTTTAGTACTACTTCTAGAATCCTCATATCCTGGAAAAAGGTATTATGTTACTGTTACATACTTACATATAAGTCAACATATAATACAAACATTAAGGGTCTGTACTCTGTTTCAAATTCTGCTAATGAGGAAAAGAAAATGGGGGGGGGGGGGGGGGGGGGGGTTGAGAATTTGGAAAAAAACAAAATGTGGAGAAATATAGAGCATTGATTCAAATTCACCAAATTTATTTTTTGAAACTTTTCAAGCTCATTTTATTAACTGATTTCTATCATATACTCTAAGAGGTATAAATATTTGAAAGATTTGTAAGAGCATTAATCATATTTAGTTTTTCATTGAATTTTACAATCTAAAACCCCACAGGGAAATGACTTACCTTAGCTATTCGTTTTTCTCTCCATAACATTTTCCATAACCCACACAATATCCTAATTATATTGAGAACATATTTTGCTTTCTGGTGTAAAAAAATTACCCGCTAAGTCAATAAAGTTCATCACACCCATAGGTTTGTCATTCTGGTTTCCTTTAGGAGATGAAATGTTTACAATCAAACCCGTATGGCTCCTTCTCAACAGTGCAACTGATGTCTTCTGTGGTTGTTTAAATGATGTTCCCTTGCAAGAATATATATCTAGGAACTCTGATATAGACTTTATTGGGACCTAAAGGAGAAGATGGAACAATGTTAACATAAAAGTAAAATGTGATTATTACACTTCTACTTACAAAATGAAGCATTTATTTATCTCAAAGAAGCTTGCCTGAGAAAGTCCTCTAAGTTTCACCCTGCCTTGAGAATCTTCAAATACTTGTACCTCATTTTGTTTTGGATCTAAAAGATCATATGCACGTTCTTGAAACACCTCGAAGAAAGATATGGACACTTCCTTTCCAACTTCCTCTGCTCTTGAAAGGATATCATGAATTGCAGAAGTAGCCAAACCCTACAGAAATACTCCAAATAAAACATTATAAAATCAATTATGTGGATAAAAAGGAGGCTGATAGAGAGAGCTAAATTGTCAACACACACCTGAACAGTAAAAGTTTTGCCACTGCCTCTAGCTCCATATGCAATAACTGAAGCATTTTTACCAGTGAAGATATGTGAGATAGCAGGCTTTATCTCTCTTGAGAACAACACATCATCTTTTCCTTGCTCATAACAATAATCTAGTTCAAAAGTATCTTTCCGGCTGCAAAAAAAACATTAATCTCTTAGTCAACTACGACCTCAAATGTTGAAATCAAGCTCAAAAGTGATGCGCAACAAACTAGCTCAGGTAAAAATAAACTTCAAATTAGAAAGAAAAAAGAAAAGTAGTTTACAATAAGGTGAAAAGTCAAGATTTACTCTATACATAAAATTTAGCAACAATTACTTCGAAAGTATACCAATTAAACCATCTGACAAAATTTTAGAGAATGAGCCGCAATGATTTCGAGAGACTGACAATTTTAGTCACAGACTAAAATCAATGACTAGTAAACTCAATTCTACTTAGCATAACCCCAGTTGCAGCTTCAATTAACATACACAAAACAGTGAATTACTAAGAACTTCTGTTGATTGATTATTTAGTGAAACTTACCTGGTTCCTTTTTCTCCAAACATGATAGAGATTTTTCCGGAAGGGTCGTCATCTCGCGGTTTGTGAACAGTAATCCATGGCTTGGAGTTGCTGAGAGACCCTAACTCTTGATCTGAGAAGCCTCTTACTTTGCCCACGATCCGGACCTTTCTAGACGGGTTCGAGCAGGCGCTGAGTTTGAGACGCCTCAAATCTGGTGTAGAGGAATCCATGAAAGAAAAGAGAAAATGGCTTGAGATTTAGAAATGAATCCGAGTTTTTGAGAATCTACTACAGAGAAGGTAGATTGATATTATAAGGTAGCCGTTAGGCGTGTTTGTTTTCAAATTCAGTGTATTCGCGCTCTTGTTGTGTGGGGCTAGGCTAGAAGTGAAGGTTTATATCTCCTGGGTCTAGAAAAGAAATGCGAACCGTACGGTTGGAAAAAAATAACAATAGACGGAAAGCTTCTGCAGCACGATTTTTGTGGCCACGGGTAGGTGAGGATGGGCGTTTATTAAACATGTCTCGATTTTTCTTTCTTAAACTAGAGAAGTCATTTTCGGTGTTTTTTTAGAATGGAAATATGCAACACTAAGGTGTATCCTATATTTGTTTCGTGTTCGGATATCGGGGTAATTTCTTTAAAACAACATTTTTTAGAAATATGTAACTGTGTATGTTGAATAATATATTTTATTTATTAAATTAGGAAAATTAATTTTCCCATTTTTAATGTTTTTAACTTACTTTTAAGTATCATATCGATCCATATATCATGTAAAAAATACTTGGCTTTAAAAATTTGACTCAATTGGACATATGGATTTAAATTAAGAATATATTTTTTGAAACAAAAATACTTGACTTTAAAAAAAATTGACCCAATTTTGAAAAATTAACATTTATTTGATTGTCAGGCTTTGTTCGTGAAAATGAAGTGATTCAATTTCATATTTCTCAGTGGCAACAAATGCATGAATGCAAAGTATTATTGGTCTGTTTAAGTCTGATCTGATCTGGTAAATATCTGGTCCATGTGTATTTTATAACTATCAAAGTCCGGTCTGGCCTAACCTGGTTTATTCTTGTCTAGTCTAATCTATTCTAATTTGTTCGTGGATTATCATTTGTGTAATCTTTTGTCTTATTTCAAATGATCTAATTACGAGTACTTTAATTTGCATTATGCACACATATTAATGATTTGACGGTGTCATGTAATATTTGTCATTTTACGTTTTTGATTCAATCGTGTTGATGGTATTGGTCCACCTCACCCGGGCCACCTCTATGTCTTGGTCCACCTCAATTAATAAGATGGTCTCCTATTTAATGCTCTGGCCCAACTGGGCTGGAAACTTGACCAAGCCCATTCCCTTATCCCTTGTCTTATACCCAGCCCATGCCTGTGTGGCCCTCTCTTATATTGTCTGGTTCTTTCTCGGATCTCCTATTTGACTCCTCCCCTTCTTCCTCCTTCCGATGAAGCAATCGGTTGGTTTCCCTAGACCTAGAGTGAGAGAGTTTCTGTTCCCGGAGAGTACTAGCTCCGGCTATACTCCGGTGATACGTTGGGGTTCCCTTGGGGGTCTTCACTCTAGTCTGGTAGTGTGGTGGGTTGGTTTTACCTCCGGTGGGTCTTTTAGGCTGGGGTCTGGGTTCTGGTTGTGAGGGCTTGTTGGTTATCGCCCTTCGTCTTCCCTGATTGTAACTCTGGTGGTGAGTGTGAGCAAGCCCTTGGGCTTTGTGGTGATTGAGGTCTGAGCCGGTCCGGTTTTCTAACGGTGGTATCAGAGCCTGGACGCTGCTGCCTCTCGCTGACATCGGAAGCTCACCAGACAACTCTCACACCGGAAACAACTACTGCTCCATCGAAGTTGGTAAGTCGGGTTGTCTTTGCTGGACACCCGCTCAGGTATAACACCAAAACCCTAACCTTTGGGCTGTCGGAGTGCCACCGGCTTCTGTGTTGCATGGGTAGTTCTGTAACCCTAGGTTAAGGAACTGCCGGTTAGAAACCCTAGCTTTTCCATTTTGCATGTGCAGATTCTGTCTAGACAGATCTGCAGAAACCCTAAGTCTGTTGAAATAGTGCATGGGTGGTCCAATCTGTGTCGAACTTGGCCACTGATATATGTGAACTTGTTTTTGCTAAATTTATTCTCTGTGTGATTACCTCTGAACCTGTCTCTGTATTGCTGTAGCTTGCCCCAATTTCTGCTGTATTATTTTGTGTTATTTCTCTGCTCAGTCAGTATGTTATTTTCTTCCTGTACTTGGTGTTGAGTTCTGGTAATTGTGTGGCTTCCTAAACCCCTGGTTGGCTAAGGCACCTGAGGTTAGGGCTAAGTGATTCCCTGCCAGCCACTTCAGTGGCCCCGGAACTGCGTGGTCACTTAGTCCGCAGCCCAAACCACCAGGGTTAAGCCTTTATATTACCTGTATCTCTGCAGTTGTGTAGTGACTGTTATCATGGCTTCAAACCAGTATGGTATGATGCCTTTTAATGGTAAGACTGACTTTGATATTTGGAAACAAAAAATAAAATGTGTGTTAATACAACAGAAAGTTCATAGAGCTGTTACTGGACAATACTTAGAAACTGAAGAAAAACCTAAACAAGTTGAAATGAATGAAACAGCCTGCTCAATCATATACTTAAACTTGTCTGACTCTGTTCTTAGAAAGGTTAGAGTCATTGAGTCTGCTAAAGACCTCTGGGATAAACTTGAGTCTCTATATATTGATACTTCCCTTCCTGGCAAACTGTTTTTGTTGGAAAAGTTTTTTAGGTTCAGACTTGACCTAACAAAAGATATTGATGAAAACTTAGATGTTTTTAATAAACTAATCCAAAACATCAAGCAGGCTGGGGATAAACATATAGATGACTACACTGCCATAGTCTTATTGAATGTTATACCTGATTCCTATAATGATGTTAAGTCTGCCATTAAATATGGGAGGGATGACATAACCCTAGATATTGTTATTAATGGCCTGAGAAGTAAAGAACTTGACTTAAAACATTCTAGGAACCATCATAGGGAGTCTGGGGAAGCTTTGTTTGTTAGGGGAAGGTCTAAAAGCAAGTCTAGACACCCTAAAAAGGACAATCACGATAAGAATGGTAGACAACCTAGTAAGAAGTGGTATAAATCTAGGAAAAGAGTCTGCTATAACTGTGGTAACTCAGGACACTTCATAAAAGATTGCACCCAACCTAAGAAAAATGACCAGGCTAATGCTGTAACTAGTAAACCTGTAGAGGATGAAGTTTTTATGGTCTGTGGTCAAGCTAATTCTGTGCTTAGTAGTCTGACTAAATCTGAATGGTTAATAGACTCTGGGTGTACCATATGACCCCTTTTAGGAATCTGTTTTCTTCCTATAACTTATGTGAAACTGATTTTGTTTCCTTAGCTGATAGTAAAAGGTGTAAGGTCCTTGGTATTGGTGACATCTGTCTAAAATTTGAAAATGGAACTGTTTTTCAAATTAAAAATGCCAGGCATGTACCTGATCTAAGGCATAACCTATTTTCAGTCTCTGCTTTTGAAGAATGTGGTCTTGAGGGTAAATGGGGAAATGAGTGTATGAAAATTCTGAAAAACTCCCTTGTTTTGTTTAAAGTTTTGAAACAAACTAACCTTTATGTTGTGCATGTCAAACCTTTTTTTGAAAATGCTAATGTTGTACTTAGTGACAAGTCTGTGCTTTGGCACCAAAGACTAGGTCACATGAGTAATAGAGGATTAAACATTTTGAAACAAACTGGATGTTTTGGTAATGACTTGGTGTCACCTATACCTTTCTGTGAAGGTTGTGTCTTAGGTAAACAACATAGGGTTCAGTTTCCTGTTTCTAACTATCCTAGTGAGCCTAAGTCCAAAGCTGTCCTGGACTACATACATGCAGATGTATGGGGTCCTTCCAGTGTCCCTACCCATGGGGGTAGGAGGTATTTTCTGTCCATAATTGATGACTTTTCTAGAAAAGTCTGGGTCTGTTTGCTAGAACATAAATCTGATGTGTATGTTAGGTTTAAAGACTGGAAAAATATGGTAGAAAATCAAACTGGATGTAAGGTTAAAACCCTTAGAACTGACAATGGATTAGAATTCTGCAATAAGGATATGGATAGGTTATGTATTGAGAGTGGGATTAGGAGACACAAAACTGTGTCCTATACTCCCCAACAGAATGACTTGGCTGAGAGAATGAACAGGACCCTCCTAGACAAGGTTAGGAGTATGCTTGCAACTTCTGGCCTCCCCAAGAAGTTTTGGGGAGAAGCTGTCAACACTGCCACCTACTTGATAAATAGATCTCCTTCTGTACCCTTAGATGGTAAATGTCTTGAGGCTGTCTTCTCTAAGAAACCCATTGACCTGTCACACCTAAAGGTGTTTGGGTGTGCTGCCTATGTACACCAACAGACTGATAAGCTAGACCCTAGATCTAAGAAATGCATTTTCTTAGGATATCCTGAAGGTGTTAAAGGATATAGGATCTGGGATAGGAACCAGAGTGGTTTTAAGGTCATTATAAGCAGAAATGTTGTGTTCAATGAAATTGATTTCCCCTGCTTAGTTAAAAATGTGACTGACCCTCAAACTGTGCATGATGGCACCTCTCCTAGTGAGGTGGAGCCTATCCAGACCACTGCTGCCCCTCTGTTAAATGAGTTTATTACTCCTGACTTGACCAACACTATGCATGACACCCACTCCACCTCCAGTGAGGTGGAGCAGCCCAGTGGTTCTAATAGTAATGATGAAAATTTGCATGATGTGATTGTTCAATCTGATTTTGCTGATAATGAAGAACTTGGAGAGATCCAAGTTGAGAATGAAAGTCTAGATGATTATGTGTTAGCCAGAGATAGGACTAGAAGAAACATAAAGAAGATTTCTGATAACATGACTGACTATGCATTTCACCTGTATGATACTTCATTATTTGCTCTCTGTTTTTGAAACTCTTGAGTTGAATGAGCCTAAAACCTACCAGGAAGCCCTTGCCTCTAGAGAATCTAAAAATTGGCTATGTGTTATGCAAAGTGAGATAGATTCTCTTAAGTTGAATAAAACCTGGACCCTGGTTCCTAGGACTCCTAATTGTTCTGTTGTTGAGTGCAAATGGCTTTTCAAAGTTAAAGAAGAACCAAATGACATTAGGTTTAAAGCTAGGTTAGTGTCTAAAGGTTTCACTCAAAAGGAAGGGGTAGCCTAGTTGCCCTAGTTGCCCATAATGACTGAGAGATGAAGCAGATGGATGTTACCACTGCTTTCCTGCATGGTGAACTAGATAAACAGATTTTCATGAGCCAACCTGAGGGTTTTGTTGACCCTAAGTACCCTAGACATGTCTGACTACTAAGGAAGGCCCTCTATGGCCTGAAACAGTCTCCCAGACAATGGAATATCAAGTTTGATCAATGTATGTCTTCCCTGAGCTTCAAAAGGTCTGATTCTGACCCTTGTTTGTATTTTAAGAATACTGCCTCTGTACCTGTTTTTTGTTGATCTATGTTGATGACATGCTTATCATTAGTCCCTCTGTGAATGCTATTAAGATTGTTCAAAAGTGCCTTTGTGAAAACTTTGCTATGAAAGACCTTGGAGATGCTAAGAAAATCCTAGGGATTAATATACTTAGGGATAGGAGTAGGTGTACCCTTACCCTGAACCAAACCTTCTATCTAGAAAAGGTCCTGAAAAAGTTCAAAATTGACTCTGCCCAACCTGTGAATGTTCCCTTAGCACCCCATTTTGTGCTAAGCAAGGATCAGTCCCCAAGGACTGCTCCTGAGATAGATAGGATGAAGGTTGTACCCTATTCCAGTGCTATAGGGTCAGTCATGTATCTCATGGTAAGCACAAGGCCTGATATAGCTTATGTTGTTAGCTGCTTAAGTAGATATATGGCAAACCCTGGTATGTCTCACTGGACTGCCCTTAAATGGCTCCTTAGATACCTTAGGGGTACATCTTCTCATGGTCTTGTGTTTTCTAAAACTGAAACTGGCATTTTACTTACTGGCTATGTTGACTCCAATTATGCAAATGATAGGGACAATAGAAAGTCTACTACTTCCTACATTTTTACTCTTTGTGGTTCCTGCATAAGTTGGAAATCTCAACTACAACCTATTGTTGCACTGTCCACTACTGAATCTGAATACGTGGCAGCCACTTAGGCTTTTAAAGAGGCTATTTGGCTTAAACGAATGCTAACTGAAATTGGTTTTCTTAAGCAGGTTGTGACAATCTACTCTGATAGCCAGTCTGCTATCCAATTGTGCAAGAATCCTGTATTCCATGACAGGACCAAGCACATTGATGTCAGGTTTCATTTTATAAGAAATATTGTGGATGCAGGTTGGATAAAGCTGTCCAAGATACCTTCTGAATTTAACCCTGCTGATATGGGGACTAAATGTCTCACTTTTGAAAAACTGTTGTCTTGTTAACGTATTCTTAATTTAGATTGTGCTAGATAAGAACTGTATAACAAGAAAAACCGGCGATGATGATTCTCCCTTTGACGTTGTGCTCTACACCACCAGGGGGACCAATAAGGTGGAGATTGTTGATTGTCTTGGTCCACCTCAATTAATAAGCTGGTCTCCTATTTAATGCTCTGGCCCAACTGGGCTGGAAACCTGACCAAGTCAATTCCCTTATTCCTTGTCTTATACCCAGCCCATGCCCGTGTGGCGGTGTGACCCTCTCTTATATTGTCTGGTTCTTTCTCGAATCTCCTATTTGACTCCTCCCCTTCTTCCTCCTTCCGATGAAGCAATCGGTTGGTTTCCCTAGACCTAGAGTGAGAGAGTTTCTGTTCCCAGAGAGTACTAGCTCCGACTATACTCCGATGATACGTTGGGGTTCCCTTGGGGGTCTTCACTCTAGTCTGGTAGTGTGGTGGGTTGGTTTTACCTCTGGTGGGTCTTTTGGGTTGGGGTCTGGGTTCTGGTTGTGAGGGCTTGTTGGCTGTCACCCTTCGTCTTCCCTGATTGTAACTCTGGTGGTGAGTGTGAGCAAGCCCTTGGGCTTTGTGGTGATTGAGGTCTGAGTCGGTCCGGTTTTCTAACAAATCGGGTTTCAATTATTCAATATATATACTTGATTTATGGTTTCGAAAAATGAAATTGAAAAAAGATGAAATTTGGAAAACATGTATTCATATTTTGAAAACGGAAAACTGGAAAGTAGAAATAGAAAACAAAAACAAAAAATGGAGAAATAAGTAAACTGGTTGCAACTCCCCACACTTTACACGCAAACCGTTTACTTTACATCATAAGAAACGGGCCCTAAGGTATTTCTACATCTTTCCCATTCATACAATTCGTTTTCACAAGGCTACCAATGGCTCATTTCAGTGTACCTTTATTAAAATGGTTTCAAGAAGAAGTGTTTAAGCGAGAAGTATATCAGGTGTTCCTTTGAGAAGTACTTCCAATCACCTGTTTTTTAAAAATGAAAAGAAGTTAAACTATGCATGTAGTAGGCTTCTAATAATTCCTTTGCTTACGTTTTGTGTATATACATCAAAAATTCAACTTCCCAGTGCAGCTTAGCGGTGACTCAATGTACCAATTTGGCACAGCTACACATTTTGAACAACTTTACACAGGCTGATCACATGCACATCATAAAGCTAATTATAGCCAATAATACGTAAACATCAGAAATATTTGAACCCTTTAGTCGTGTAATACTTATCACATTACTCATCTAATAGCATATCAGACTGCACAGATCTTGAATCCTTTCCGAAGAGATGTCGGTGTAGGGGAGAACTCTGAAGTTTCCATTCTCTGAGCATGTTAAAGTCAACTGCTCTAAGTTGATCATGGTCTGTAACCACAAAACATTTCTAAGTGTCAGTCAGAGGTGTTACGAAATGCAGGCCACGGAAGTCACATAAAATTGTGTCAGGAACATACTGCAAATCTAAGGGTGTATTTGGTAACGATAAGTTCCGCTTAAATGATTAAAGTGGCTGGAATTGTTCACAACTTCACATTGTAGCCAAAATGGCTAACTGGCAGAATGAGCTGAATACTCTCATAAAATTCATTCAACATGTATGCATGTGTGTATATCTCTAAAATAATATATGAAAATAAAGGCTGAAGTGTCAGTTTCTTTCATTAGCCAATAGCCATTTCAGTAAAAAATTGACTTATGCAGTAATGCTTTCTATTATGGCCAGATCACCTAGCATAGTCAAATATGTTGATGCTTGAAAGAAAATATGACTCATAAAGTTGATCATCATGATCATTACCCCAGTGCCACAAAGGCTCCCACCTATGGAGGGAGGTAAGGGGGGTCGGATGTACGCAGCCTTACCCCTGTTTAGCACAGAGAGACTATTTCCGGAATGACTCATAAAGTTGATATGCAGAAAATTTTTCTTATCAACTGTTGCTAGTTGCAGGACTAAAGCAGCAGTTGTGCTTCATGGTTATTATGTCAATAGTTAACAACTTGACAAAGTGTCAAGTCTCATTCTCCTTTCAGATATCTGTAGTTTTGGACTTACGGTCATATAGTCTTACGAGAGTGTTTGGGTAATTGGGTATAAACTATTGTATAGATTCTTTTATCACAAGTACGTTCTCAACTAAACACTTAGAGAGATTTCTAGAAAAGCATTAATATACTGCCTTCTTAAATAAGCACTACAAGTAATTATTTGCCCTTAAACCACTTTTTCCGCTTTTTTATAGTAATTTAATCTTGAGTTATGCTACAGGTACAAAAACTTTTACAAAAAGTCTTACAAAAGGGGTATGTGGCATCATCACATTATTTAACACATCACATCACATATACAACACTTTTACATCAATGGTAATTAGAATAGCCACATCACTTGTTTGTAAGTTTTTTTGTAAGTGTGTTTGTACTTCTAGCATTTTTCTTTAATCTTCTTCCTTTAAGAAGCACTTACGTAGTATTTGTTCAACTAAGTCATTCCAGATGTTCTCTTTGCTCTTTTAACATTATTTTGAGCGTTGAAAAGTTATGAAAATCATTTCGTTCTCTTGCTCTTAATTTTAACTATGCAGGTTGGTATATTGAATACGTTATTGTTAAGTTCCCCAAACAACTTTACAATACCTCACAGTGCATTGCTTTGTCCGAGCAGCTCCACCATTTGAATGGAAGGCAGTCTATGTGTTGGCACCAGCTACAATACTTGTTCGCATTTGTGCCCCGAAGAACTGCTAAATAGACTCCTGCAAGCCTGCATTTCACGAAAATGCTTTAAAGTTTGAAATAAAATAAAAAAATCTGCCTCCACGTGAACTAGACCTTAAGCGAAGTGACTGAATAAAAGAAACTCACACGAATATGAACATGACAAGAGAAGCACCCCTGAGAAAAGGTCTGTCAAACTTATGCTTCATTTTAACTTTATGTTTGAGATCATACTCAAACAGACCTCCTTTCTCTTGAGCCCTTGTGCTTAGTTGAGGTTCAAATAGTAACACAAACCCAATGAGGAATCCTGATATGAATCCTCCAACATTGGAAAAGTTGTTGATGTATGGTAACAGGCCGAGGATTAGATTAACAGCCAAGATCACCAAAAAGATAAGGACGGCTCCAAGCTGATATCAATCAAGGAAAAGATCACATTTCTATCGAGAAAGAAACTAGGAAAGCGAAATCTTGAGGAGAAGAGCTAAAAAGGGTAAACCTTTTCAGTGTAAATTTTACAGTTTCTAATGAGCCCAGACAGCATCATACCAAGCAATCCAAATAAGGCTCCAGACGATGTTACCGATGTTTTCTCAGTAACAAAAAGTGCAGCCACTAAGCTAGCAGTAATGGCAGAGAGTATGTATACAACTCCAGTCCTTACTGCAAAACATGATAAGAATGCGATAAACATAAAAACCACCTAGCAGTAATAGCAAGTACGTGGGTTATAAAAATACTACCTCTAACCCAAATAAAGTCACATTGTCACCAAGATACCACAACTACTTTTAGTAAAGTATAACTATTGGTAATCATCAATTGTAGCTATGCCTTTCAACTTATTTGTTCATTTAACATATTTAAATTGTATGGGACACTTGATTTTGTAAAAAAGACATTAAATGTAACAGAAGTTAGTTTCTTTTGGTCAAATAGGACCGAAAGGCCAAAATATGTTTACATAGAGGACTCTCTTTTCTTGGACAGAGGGAGTTATAGGGTAGGAATGATTACGTGATCCAAACTCATGCTCCATGTGAATCCCAACGAAGACTATACTGCACAAGTTTAAGATGAGGTGGAAAAGCCCTGCATGCAACAACGGGCTTGTGAAAACACGCCAGAATTGGTGATGATCAACTAATAGTGTCTGCCTAAGAGCCCCAACTTTATCCAGTCTGCAAAGAACAAAAAAGTGATTATACCTCAAGCACATAAGAAAAAGTCAATGCCGTTTGTTAATTATCTGATGTAACATACTTTGTACAAGTATGCTACGGAGTACAATGCAGGTTAGCACTTCACTGGCCTGCATGTAAGCATTATATGCTAATCCGTCCAACAGAGAAACAAACTTTATAGAATGTTCTAGAAATGAATCAATTCAGAGTTCATTCCCTCCTCATTAATGGCCCTATATGTACACAGAATCTTAAGCCCTATATTAACCAAACAAGAATTCATATAGTTTCATCAAGAATCACATACATTCATGTAGAAATTCGATGAAAAGGAATTATTTATACATCTCAAAGGATGTGAAACCAGCATGAGTTAGATGCAAGTAAATATTGAAACCCTGACGTGAGAAAATCTCACAATTACTCAAGGTCTGAAGTTACCGCAGTTCTATAGTAAAAAATCTGCTTTAAACTAGATTAGGATCTTGAAGAGTTGAAGATGAATTTAATCGAACACGTCGTAGATAAGAACTTTAGTTCAGGGAAATGTTGCAGTAAATCACTTACGCAGAGGCGGAGGGGCCCAGCAAGGGGTTTTCGTGGAGGGGCTGAAAGGACAACCTTCTGAGGAACTTAATGGAGCACTGCCCCCGAGAGTTGTGCCAGCAGTCGTTGACAATCATGGTGGCTGTGAAGAAAATGAGGTGGACGATCACGAAGAGAGATATGATCCACGCATTCTCGCTCCTCTGCGATAGCGGCCTGAAGAAAGGGAAAACAACTCTCTTCTCTTCCGTAATATCCCGCCCGTTAAGGGACAACCGGGGTGCCACCAGCGGCGGAGGAGGAGACGGCGCTGAGAAGCGCTTGATGTTTACCTTGATTTCGTGTTTCGTAGAGTCCTCCTCTGCCGGCATTGCTGTTATCAGATGCTCCGTAATAGTTTTATGGAGAGACGGTGCAAGAGTTAATTTCTAGAGCTAGAGTTGAGCAGCAATGGCGGAGTGGTGGAATCTTGAAGGCTGGGGTGTGGCCGGAAAATTTGTTATTTTTGGAGCCAAGTAACAGCCTGTGTTTCTTTTTAAAATCATCTGAATCAAGCTGATGAGGACCCCAGGTGTACACACTTTTTATACATGTGTATAAAAAATAACTTAAAAAATTGTTTGTACAGACATAAAAAAAACCTTACACAGACATGTGTTAAAAGTGTGTACACCAAAAAGTGTGTACCTCAAATCCAACTCTTTCAAATATATTCATTTACTGGTAAAAAATTGTTAAGACAAATCAAAAGTTAAAATTATTCCAAGGTGGAATCTTGGAGCCTCAAACCCCGACCCGACAGAATGGTGAAGGAGTATACTTGTGCGCATCAGAAGTCCAGCGCAGCACCCATGAACTGTAACCTCCACACGACCTTGGTTTCGAACCTTGATCATTGTTCCAAATTTCTCACCACTGAACTAACTGAGCTATCCATGCCGCCGTACAGATAAATAGAAAGAGTTTTGAAGTAAGATGAGTTGATGATAACTTTTGGAGAACAGCAATTTAAAGCATATAAAGATATAAACTAAAAGATTAGAATATGAAAAGAATTTAAAAAAATTACAATAAGGAATAGGTGACAAAAAACTAGAGATAATATGATAGTACCTCCGTCTCAAAAAATTTTGCCATTTCCATTTAAAGTAATAAATATGTGGCTAAAGTTATTTCTCTCTTCTCTGCACAAATATCAACCACACAGTTTTTACTTTATTAATCTACGTGCAAGTCAAGATTGACAAGTTTTATGGGAGGGAGGGAGGGAGTACATAATTAGTAATGAAGCATATTCACATATACTTGAGAGGTATTGAGCGAAGTACGTTCCTGAAACCCTAATTGTTCGTCCATCACGCCTCCGGCTATCGCAGGATCAAGGTTAGGCAATCTTCTGGCAACCTTAGCTCTTGCTTTACTCTGTATCACATTTGTAGTCTTAAAGTTTCAGTTTTTGTGTGTAGCGGCTGAAAGATTTTTGCGTTTGGATCAGATGTACTCAATGATTTGATATTTAAGTATTTTAGTATACATGGATGAGTTTGAGATGCTGTTAAATGCAATTGTGGGATCAATGTTCATGAACGAACGTATATTAAATAATCTTCTTTAAATCTGTGATGTTCAATGATGCAGGTATGGCTCCAAAACAGTCCAGTAGTGGGCTATTTGTTGGACTGAACAAAGGTCATGTGGTGACCACGAAAGAGCTAGCAGCACGGCCCTCAGATCGGAAAGGCGTAAGTTTCATATGAATTATTTGATGCCATTCTACTGTAGTACACATGCATAACTAAATGATCATTTGTTGGATTTCTAAATGTGATCATTATTAAGTTGCATTTTTATTAGAAAGAAATATGAAGAATGTTCATTAAGATGTTATAGTTTAAAAAAGTATGATCATTGAATGAGATTGATGAGTATGAATTTACATCCAATTTTTCTGCCTTTCTGGTGCTTTCAATGAAAACCAGAAGTCTTGATGTATCATTACTTGTTACAGTATTATAAAAAGCAGAGGCGCACCACTTCAGATTAAGCTGTTTCTTCTAGCGACATTCCTTTCAATATAGTCTTTACACATGTTAGGACATTGATCTAAATTTGGCATCCTTCAGAAAACAGCCAAAAGAGTCCATTTTGTCAGGAACCTGATCAGAGAAGTTGCTGGATTTGCACCATATGAGAAGAGGATAACTGAGCTTCTTAAAGTTGGAAAGGACAAGCGTGCATTGAAGGTGGCCAAGAGAAAGTTGGGCACTCACAAGAGGGCAAAGAGGAAGAGGGAAGAGATGTCTAGTGTTCTCCGCAAGATGAGGTAATAATTCATCTCATTGTTTATGAAGAATGCATTTACTATTTATTGCATTGCATTTTCTTTTTATTCAGTCATATGTTTTAAACCCAATTGTTTATTTAAAAAAATATTATTCTTCATGCTTTTGCCATCTGCTTCTGTCTCTTATGTGTGGCGAACAATGTGCAGGGCTACTGGAGGTGGTGACAAGAAGAAATGAAATTGATTTTTGGAAACCAATACTCCCTCCGTCCCATTTAAACGTTCCCACGCTGTTAAAAGCGTGATCATGCTTTTGATCACGCTTTTAACTACATATTTTGACTTATTTTGGAAGTGCGGTTAGTTCAGTCATGAGCAGATTTACATTTTCTTTGTATTTTATACCTTAAGGAGACTGTACTGAAATATGTTGGTCTTCATATTTTAATCTGCAAATTAGAGCTTCTGTTATTGAACCCAGTTTATGGGATGGAACAATGTTATTAATGGTGGATGGCAGATTATAGGGGATAGCAAAACCCATCATATGGTGCTACCATAGCTTTCCATAACCTTCCATTCTTCAAAACATTCATGTGGTGGCCTGCTATATTTCCGCCACCGGAGTGGGCTTATCACAAGCTCTACCCTCTTTCATGTTTAATGGCATGGGATTTGACCAAGGGTGTTAACCCTGAGATCCTAGCACGGATCAGAAGGGTTCTGGTAGATGGTAACACGAGTGGGCTACTGGTAATAATATTTATAAATATACATCTATATAGTTATTTAAATATAAAGTTCTATTAATTCACCCATAATAATTGAAATTTATAATAACATAGTGTCAAGAATATAAAACATGACATAACAAACAAATCGAAAGGAGATTATTTCTACGTATGAGTAACTAACTTTGGATGAAATAATTTGGAGATTTTTTTGGCAAAAGACTTATAGGCTGCTGACTGTTGTAGAAGAGCAGCTGAGCAGGGATACTAAATTGAAGTATTAAACTAATTGAAGATTGGAGCAATAGACTTTCTTTTATTCTATACTCCGTACCAAAAACTAACTAGGATTCAAACAATCATACACATTTCCATTATTGTGATTTGATGTCCGTTCATGTCCTTTGACTCAGGCTTTGAGTTCCAATTAGGGATGGACCCAATCGGCCCGGCCCGGTCCGCTACTGTGTGGGCCCGGCCCACTACTGTGCGGGCCCGGCCTAGCCCGGGTATGTGTTGGGCGGTTCGGGCTTTGAACCTTCAGACGCTGATCGAACTTCGGGCATGGGTTAGGAAAAAAGCGAACCGGGCCGAACTGGCCCACTACCCGAACCAGACCGGACCCGGTATCAACCCGGGCCGGTTTCGAGCCCAAGTTTCTAAGAAAAAAGGCCCGGCCGGGCCCAACCTAGAATTGGAACTGGATCAGGCCGTGTTCATCCCTTGTTCCAATTGCGTCCTTTGAGTTAAATAATTTTAGTTAGTCACATAAACTTTGTGTTCTATACCGGACGGGCCTAGGGTCAAGCGAACAACTTTGAACATCTTTTGAGTAGATTAGGAGAAGGACGACGCTCAAATCTCGATCGGCGTCTGAAGGAAGTTCGATCGGCGTCTGAAGGTTCGGTGGTGCGCGGCGTGTTAGTCCCAAAATACAAACAATCATACAACCATAGCAGCGATAAAGAAGCAGATAGAAAGAAATCAACAAGATTGAACGCAGATCTGGTATACCGTATGAACCTGCCGCTACTCTCCCTGGAGAAGGAGAGCAGCGGCAACCCTAATTTCTCTCTATCTTTACGCCTCTGCTCTCTAAGCCTCTGGCGATCAGTTTGGGTTCCCGTAAGTTAGCCTCCTTTTATAGGAGAAGTTGGCTAACTTACGGGTTACAAGGAAGCCCACGGGCTGATACACATTTGTGGCCCGTATTACACTTTTAATTAATAACTACATAAATACAAAGATAACTAATTAGATTGAACATCATAAAATATTCCCAACAATCTCCCCTTTGGTGATCAATCGTGTTGAATCAGCATTGCAGCGCATATATCTTTATCTTTGTTGTTATTTAGCTTCCTTTGTCTTTGAACTTGACTTCTGAGGAAGGCTATCTGAAGGAATCCTTGCAATCTCCCCTTTGATGTCTTCTTGACAATTTGATCTTTGATGCCAGGGGTTGAGGGACCTACTGTATCTTGCATGTAGTTCTTGCCTTCCAGAAGTTGCTCTTGATTAGCTTGGATGAAGTCCGGTGACGCCTCTAGAATGAATATTCTTTGGAGAATAGGAGACGCCCATGGAATTCATCTTCAGGACACGAGTATTTGACCTCTGTCTCCTCCACAATGTAGTCTTTTTGACTATTTGGAATGAATGCATTTGAGGAGAACTTGTCGCTGGCACAGCGGAACATAATGATGGTTGATTTGTGAGTGTAGCTGACCATTTGATTTGAGTTGCGGAGATAGTAGAGAGGGTGTTGAATTTTGTGATGGAGGAGTGAAGTGTCCCAGAATGATTTGTTCAGTGTAAACAGCATGTGGACCACTCTCCCCCTCATGACGATCCGATGAATCGGGACGTCATGCTTTTATTCTTTTATTCTGCGGAAATAAAAACATGAAAAACAAGCAGAATCTAAAAAAGATAACGTAGCCCCCCGGGGTCGTGAAGACGCCCGTTATCATCACTATAGAGATAAACTCTTAAGCAATGGCCTGAAAATGTTGGTGATTCTTATGTTGCAACAGCAGGACTTCCTTCCAAACATTAGTCTACATCTGCAATAGATGAGACCTATGGAAGTTCTCGCGGGTCATGTAGACCTGCAACTAACTCTAAAAGTGCGTCTGTGTCCTAGAAAATTTCAAAACATTTGGGAGTGAGTAACTAGACATGACGTGATCAATGAAAGTTCAGTGGCATGGGGCTGAGGCCACTGTAGTCAGTATTACTTGCCTCGGAAGGAGACAGTAATGAGAGATGCGGTTCCCCGTGAACTATGATTAAACACCTGTCTGTTGGGAGACAAGTGAGTGGTCTAGGGTAGGGTTGTGCATGCGCCGTTTGGACAAAATGCAGCGACTTCTACCCGGGATCTGAATAAATTCAGTCCTGAACCTATGGGGATAGTCCAGAGTATTTTAGTGGCTAGGAGCAAATGTTCAATTCATAGCAGGCAATTGAGGTAGCAGACTCATCATTGATAATTGTTTGTCTTCTCAGTTGAGCCTTCTGCTTCCTAATGCTCATAATGTTCACTCACTCACTCGCTCACTCACGCACTTACGTTCGGCTTTGTCCCTTGGGTAGGCTTAGTTGGGTTTACTAAGCCATAGGGACATGTTCTCTCATTACTTTCTCATTTTCTCTCTGTACTCCCCCTTAACTGGAGCACTCGGTATGCTTTGTCATTGTTACGCACCGGGGAGGAATACTTTGAACACTCCCCCTAGAATGTTGCATCCATTGAGAGATTCCTTGCTTTGTCGGTGTAAGGCGCCAGGAGGAGAAAACTGAAACTCCCCCTCAGAATGTGCAAGGTTTGATTGCTCACAGCTTGTCATACCCGCCATGTGTGTGGAGCAATCTGAACATGTACCACACATGACGGTTTCCCTGAGCTCATCATGTAGAATTTCAGCATATTGATGATCACATAATGTTGATGAGTCAGGGGAGGCTTCAGCAGTTGATTGTTGATTGTTGTAAGGTGACCGTTGACGCGAGGTTGATTGAATTATCTACGATTTTCAGACCTTTACATTGAAGTTTAGAAAAGTTTTGACCTCAGGGTTGACAATGAAAGAATTTGAACAGATTTGCCTAAGTTTTGACCTGGACATCGGTGATTTACAATGTTTGTCAGAAAACTAACGTTTTGACCCTCAAAGACTGCGAGTGAGGGCGCGTGAGAATGGGTTCTGGGGCGTATCCCCAGAATTAATGTAAATCTTTTCGTTAGCTTTCCAACAAAAAATTTTTTGCTCAAATCGGATCACCGAGTCAAAAGTTATGGCCAAAACAGTGCGGTGTCGCAGAAAATCTCTAATTTTGAGTTTTTGAGGAATTTCTTCGAAGTTGAGGTTCTCGATGATGAATATCCAGAGCAGGTGGATTTTAAACAAAATTCTAAGGCAATACTTCGAAATCCTAATCTCGAGGTTTAAACCTCGAGATTACAATCTCGAGGTTGCCTCGAAGAATAATGGCGAAATCCACCTGCAAAACAAACCTCAGAAAATCGAAATCTGCAGAATTTCAAAATGTTTGAACATCGAAAACTTTGGAGTTTCGAAAACCTCATAATCTCGAAAACTTGCTGTTTGAAAAACATCAGAACATCGAAAACTCCTGAAACATTTATAAGCAGGGAATCATTCAGAGATCCGTATAATGTAAAGCTTCGATGAACTGCAAAGGATGTCAAGATTCGAATTATGAGTTCCAAGAAACTGCAAACTTTGAAAGATTCAAAAACATCGAGAAATTTTGAAAATCTCGAAATCTTCAGAATGTCGAGATCCAAAACATCGAGATCCCAAATGTTGAAATCCCAAAACTCGAAATTCCTAAACTCGAAGTTCCAAATCTCGAGATTACAAATCTCGAGATCTTGATTTCGAGATTACAAATCTCGAGATCTTGATTTCGAGATTCAAATCTCGAGATCTTGATTTCGAGATTCAAATCTCGAGATCAAGATGTCGAGATGCAAATCTCGAGATCAAGATTTCGAGATTCAAATCTCGGATTCATGATTGCGAGATGCAAATCTCGAGATCAAGATGTCGGGATGCAAATCTCGAGATCAAGATGTCGAGATGCAAATCTCGAGATCTCAAAAGTCGAGAAGAGGAAATCGAGTCCCTAAATGTCGAGATCCTGCAAAACGAAAACATTGATTTTTGAAAATCTGAAACCTGTTCTGAATAGCCCTAAAAGTCGAGATTCTCCTCAACGTCCAACAACCATGTGTTCACCCTTCGGCCAGGCCAAAGCGCAAAGCAGGGCACGTGTCGCCCTCAAAGCCAAGGACACTCCTCGTCCTCAAGACCAATGGCACGCATCGTCTCCGGGACTATGACATTCATCATCCATATCACGAACAAAACGAACGCGCCACAAATGTCCGCAAGCGTAAGGTCCATCAATTAAAGTAAAAAACACAAGGGCATGAAATCCTTCGTCCACAGATCCAAGGGCGCACAACGTCCTCTGGTCCAGGACCCTCATCGTCCTCAAGATGAAGGACATTCATCGTCCTCAAAATGAAGGACGTTCATCGACCTCAAAATGAAGGACACTCATCGTCCTCAAAATGAAGGACATTCATCTTCCTCGAAACAAAGGACACTCATCGTCTTCAAACAAGAGATAACCACAATGGCTTCATCAGCCCAAAAGGGAAGTTCAAACCATCAACGACCAAGGGTAGACACTACCTTCGTCGGCCACTCATGTCAGAACACGCATCGTCCGCAAACAAGCGCACCAAAGGAGTAACAGCCTTCCTCATCCACATCAAGGAACGGGTAATGGCCAAACTCAGAATAGGGCCA